AGCATAAAATATCTCCAATTCACACTGCAGAGAGCTTATTCAGAGATGCCTTGCTTTGACAATCAGTGACAGAGACTTTTTTCTTTTTGTGTCTGGTATTACAGTGGTGCTTCACACTAGTGTTAGTCATACTTAGGAAGCAGTAAACTGACCACAGGAAAACTAGGGACATTTAGCAGGAGAGCTGGTGTATGTTCTACTATTCTGTCACTCCAGCAGCAGGGAAAGACAGTCATTTCTCAGTGACTCCTCACTTTCACATAAATCAATGAAATAAAGAGAACATGCATCTATTGGAATTGCTTAAACCCTAAAATCCCCATGAGAGCTTTCTTCCCCTCTCCTGCAACTATTCCACCTTTCTTTACTATGGTATTTCTCTGAAGGAATATTAAATTATTTTAACATCATAAAAAATCCTAAAGTATTGCTAATGTTCAATCAACAGGAAAAGACATTTCTGAGACAACCTATTAACATCTGAGCATACCTAAATGAATTATAAAGAAAAATGTAAAACTTTCATTAACATACTTAAAACTGATCTAACTCCTTTATCAACACATAGGTAAGTTCCTAAAGAGGCCACTGGATAACAAAACAAAAATCTTTTTAGAATAATACTTTCTTCATAGATGTTGGAGTAAGTATTTTTTTAATTAACATACTCAGTAACCTGACCAAATAACTATAACTTTTTAAAAGAATAAACCTAATACTCAAAACATTCCTCTAGAAAAAAGGAGACTTTTACAGGACTCCATTTAGTAAACAACTTTTGAAACTATGCCTGGGATCTTTTAATTTAAAAAAAAATTCTTATAAAGGTAAATATAATATAAATGAAAGAAACTGTTCTCAGAACAAGCTCTATGGTTCTCCCAAGTAGTAGTCATTTTTTTTTAAGCTGCACATATGTAAACTGTTGAACCATTTACTTTAAGTTAATAGAACAGTTTTTTATATTTTAAATTTATTATACTTAAAAAGCTTTTGTAGAAATATAGGATTCCATTTAAGTAGATACATTACCCTGTGCCTGAAATACATTCCAGTCAGAATATAATTCAGTGAGTTGATGACAATGCTGGCTCCAAAAGAAAGGAGGAGACCAGATTGGACAAGAATGAGGTAACAGATTGTGCAGCCCAATTCTGTCCCTTTGAGTGTGATATATTGTTTCAAGATGCTAAAAACCCATAGTTTCTCAAAGCATATCTGTTGTGCTGGTTTTCCCATTTTCACAGAATCCTCATTATTAGTACTCTGTACTCTTTTCAAAGCACGTCAGACTCAGACCATATGCCACTGAATAATGCTTATCAATTGTCTAAAATACCCAATGAAAGAAAGATGTGCTGCACAAAAGAATCATGAAAGTTATGAAGTTTTTTTGCAAAAATAATTACATCTATCACATCTGGTACATATGTTAAATGAAGCTAAAACATCTCCTAGTTACTACTAAATGTTAATTTTTAAAGATACACTTTTGCGTAATAAAACTGACATCTTGTAGGAAGAAGAAATGGCTTAATGATAAAAGAAACCCTTTACAACATTCTTTTGGTATCTGAATAGTTATGAGCAAAATCAGGATACAAAATCTTACTACCTAAAAAGATATAATTAGAAATAAGATAGTTTCCAAATTCAATTCAATGAGCATTTATTAGGCACCTGCTATGTGTAAAGCACTGTGCATGGGAGATAAAAACAGAAAATAAAAATTGCCTGCCTTCAAGGAGCTTACATTTTATTTCCCATTCTATTTGTGCCTCCAAAACAAACTTCCCATCCCATTCTCCCAAGTCATCTAATACTAAACTCAAAATCATGAATCCAACTTTATTATAATGTTCAATCATTTTTACTCTATAATATCCTTAAGGTCTGGGATAGTGTCATTTTGTAGCTCCTGTAGTGAACAGCTGAATGTTTTACATAGTGGACATTTACTAAATATTTACGGCACTTGCTATTGTTCTAAATTATGAGTAACTGTATATATAGGTATATACATACTACAACAGGCACATATAAGAATAAAATCTACAGAGTTATGGAAACCTTTAAGAAAACAGTTGTTATGTCTTCCAGGTAAGCAGGGCAATGTATTCTATGTCTTTCTCCCCATCACAGCTTGAAACTTTTATAACAATGTGTCAAAGTACGATCTGGGGACACTGAGACCCTTTCAGGGGGCTGTAAGTAAAATCTATTTTCATAATAACAAGACATTTTGATTTCTAATATTGATAAATGTAAACCATTTAATAAAAAACTCTTTGGGGGGTGGTCCTCTATAATTTTAAAGGATATAAAGAGGTACTTAAGACAAAAAAAAATTGAGAACTACTGCTTTAGAACAAGAACTCAAATTCGAATCCATTCAAGAAATATTCATTAAGAAACTACTATGTGCAGAGCACTATTAGATACTTAGATGAGACATGGTTCCTGTTTTTGTGAAGTTTATAATCGAACTTAAATTGCATATCTAATTGAACTGAGGAGGGAGATGTTACCTTTTCTTATTCTTATTTCTAAGCTTTAAAGCATTATACAATAGCCAAGGTATTTGATAATTCTATTTTCATGGAAAAGATTGGAGAAGATGCTGGAGAAATGGCTCTCTATTTAAAAGATTTTACAATGAAGATAAAGGAAAGTAAATTATGTAACACAAATATGTTAAGTGGCATGGTTTCAATGAATACACACAGATGATTCCGAAAGTACATCTACAATTCTGAAATATAATTCTTTAATTTCCATCTGCATGACTATTTCCACTGAAATTCCTGCTCATATAAAAAAGCAAGCTAATTACTTTATTCCTGACCACTCCTGGCTTCCACCAAATTCCTTATCGCTGATAAAGACAAACTCTTCAAGCGATTCTTGGAGACTGATTATAGATAGATAGACAGACTGAAAGAGCATTTATTTAGCATTTACTATATGCCAGGTACAATGCTAAATGCTGAGGATACAAAGACAAATAAATCTAACAGTCCATTATATTCTAATGGGGAAAGATAGCACATATAAGAAAGAACTAGAATGTAGGAAGGGGTTTGGAATAGAACTGGGGACAGGTAACAGGTGAGGAGGAATCTGGAGGCAGACTAGAGTCTATGAGTAAGGTGAAATACTGCTTCTCTTCGTCTTACAAGGAGGGAATCATCAATCAGGAAAGTATGATCTTAGAGAAGTGGCTTTGGGGAGGCAAGGCAGCAAGCGAGGCCAGAGAGAGAGCCCAGAAGTGAGATGTGTCTTGAAGGGAGTCAGAGAAGAGCGTACAGCATTCCAGGCATAGCTGACAGTCCGTCACCCTCAGAGAAAAGCGATGGAGAACTATTATTAGGCCAGCACTGTGAGAATGTAGC